TATAGGATGACTATAGTTAACAATAATATGTTACATAATTTCAAACAGCTGAAAAGAGGATATTGAACATCCCCAAGACAAAAACATGATAAATGTTTGAGATGATGTGCCAATACCCTGATATAATCACTATATGTGATATGTATTGAAACATATCTATATATATCCCATGAATATGTATAATTGTTGTCAATTAAAAGATAAAATAAAACACATTATGACAGATGACTTTTGTTAGATTGTTTCCCAACGTAATGGCTTGATCACAATGCTCATATGCCACCACACAGAAGGGAACAAACTTTGAAAGTATGACCCAGTGAAATGAACCCTTTAGCATGCAAATGGTAACAGTGCCTGGATAAAGCCACAAAAGAAGTTAGTGAGGTAAGGGACTGCAATGGAAGCTAATCTAGCTGTGGTTCCTTCCATAAATATTCTGGGACCAAATTTACAAAATAAATAAACAAGGATTGACTGGCCTACCTCAGCGTACCTTTCTACCAAAAGGTACTTATATAGCAAAAGAAAAGTGTTTTTCTGCTCTGCATGACATAAGATTTTTCAAAAATTAAAACAAATTTAGTTATTATCTAGCTTTGAGCTATCCTCCCTGTTTAAAGGCTTTAAAGTGCATAGTAGGGATGCTACACACTAGTGTAGTACTTACAAAATTGAAAGGGTTTTTAGTCAGGAATCATTATGAAAAATGTTCAGACAATAGGACAATCAACAAAATGTGCTTTCCATTAGAGAGCTGCATTTTTAATGATTTGCTTACAAATCAGAGCATGCTGTCAAAATGAAGAGATTCCTAGGACTTGTTTTCCTAATTAGAACGGGTAGCCAGTATATTAAATAATTAAAAGAACTGGAACCAGATTCAGTATCATGGAAAACAAATTACAAATTTAAAAATATATCGAGTTTAAAGGAGATTAAATCAGAAATATGAAAACTACAATTTTCTTAGTATATATCACATAGTATCAAATCTCCATTTCTCAGAGGAGAAAAATAATAGATTTCAGTGACACTTATTGTAGTCATGGAAGCATTTTTAGCTTTGTGGTACTGAAATTGTGTGAAAGAAAAATGGCTCTTTGAACATAATTAATTTCTCTTTACATTAAAAAATCTTATTTTGTTTGTGGACTGTTGAAATTGTAATTTTTAATTGCCTTGTGAATAGTGGAGAATTGAAAATAATGTCTGGTCCCAATTGAGTAAGTTGCTTTTGGGTCAATTGGATGGTAGATTTTTCACACACACATACACATACTCATACAAATATACATTTTTTTTACTAAATTTTCAATTTCTTAATTGAATTCAACTGATTATGCTTAATACTCAAAATTTATAACATCATAGCATAAATCTGTTTTCATAGCAATGTATCTTCAGTTTTTTGTTTATGATTCCACTCAAAAAAGACCTACAGAAGTGAGTTATTCTTTAGGTAATTTGAGATGTTATATTTGAAAGTTTTTGGAGAAGATTTTCTAGTCCCTACTCAAATGTTCATCATTATTGAATGCATATTTATATCAGATTATTGAATTATAATATTAATGTGCTGCCTCCTTTAAAAAATAAAATTTGACTGAAAATGTTTTTAAAAATGACCTCCCAAAAAGCTACATCCTAATCTCTGAAGGTTACTTTATATAGAAAAGGGTGGGGAAATCTGCAAATGCAATTAAATTGAGGGTCTTGAGATTCGGAGATTATCCTAGACTATTCAGGTGGACCCTCCTAAATGTAAAAACATGTGTTTTTCTTAGAGAAGCCCATAGGGAGATTTGACACAGGCAGAGAAGAAGGCAATGAGAAGATGAAACAGAAAGATTGGTAGATGCTGGCCTTCAAGACTGAAGTTATCTGGCAATAGTCAAAAAATGCTGGCAGCCACCGGAGGTTAAAAGAGGAAAAGAGCGCCATCTAGAGTCTCCAAGGGAGGCATGTCTATGACTTGGTTTGAATCTAGTTAATACTAATTTCATAGTATAATTAGAACAGTAAAAAAATTAATACCTGTTATTTTAAGCAACTGAATTTGTAGTAATTTGCTACAATAGGCACAGGAAACTAATATAGGGCCCTTATGGTTTATTTCATCTAGTAGTTTCCATACACTTTTAGCAGCAATTTTGTGCCTTGTTTTTTCCTCTTCCCACTCACTACAACAATTCCTGTGCCTGTCTGGAAACTGTCTTTCCTAATTTGCCAATAACCACTCTTATTTTCCAATTTTAATAAGCATTGGTTCTTATTAGGAGTAACATAATTATAATAAATTATAAATAAGGAGAAAATAGGCACGCTTACATACATTTTACATATGGAGGGTCTGCAAATCAGAAAATGTCATAACTGTTCAAGGACACACATTAACTGCTACAAATGATTCAAATATAGACTTAGACAACTTAAATGACATTGTTCTTTGCCCCCAAACTACAAAATACCACAAATTACAACCCACTATATAAGGTCTATACATATTTATTACATACTTATAAATTCTTATCCAGCCAACTTACATACATATCTCTTATCCTAAGACCTAGATGTAAATAAAATGGTGAAGTCATGTATGATAAAGCTCCATGAATTCCATCCTCTATATGGTCATGAGCAACTTGGACTCCAACATTTCGAAGTCTTGTAACATACATAAGTCCATCATCTCTTAAGAGATCATGTTGACAAGTAAGAATATAGGTTAGTGGCAAATTCTGTAACTGGGAATCATTGGCCAACAAGGGTAATGCTCTGGCGTCTGTAAGTGCTGGCAATGAATAACTAAGTCCTCCAAGAATTGGTTCAGTATAAACATAGTCTTTTCTATACTTCTCAGGAAGAAGAACACTCCAATTAACAAACTTAAACAGATGTCTTGACTCCAGAGGCATGTGTTGGTTTCTTCTCATTGCCTGGGGAAGTGCTTCATCCTTGGTGAAATACAAGCTCACGAGTTTTATAGCTACATCCCTTGTCAAAACTATACCATGCTCATTTTCTCGGTGAGATGGCGAATAGCTATCTGTTATCTGTAAGCCAGGGTAAAGTAAGGCTTGTATCTTGATTTTATGTTTTATTCCAGCATCATTCTGCATCTGAAAATATATAGTAATATTCTGTAATGCAAAAGTTTCCAAAATACCAGGAGAATAAAATTTAATTTTAATTATTTAGCAATCATGAGATAAACAAATCTACATAAACTGATGTTATATATCATAGTTACTTTTACAACATTTATAATATATTTACATGGCATGAAAAAAATTCAAACCACTTTAAAATTAAAGTTTTAAAAAATACGGACTTTGTGTGTGAGGAAAAAAGGAGAAAGGATAAGAGAGGGAAAGAGAAAGATAATACACCAGGAGGGAGAGATACATAGGATTTTTTGGTCAAAAATCGCAAATGAAAATGATCCAATTCCAAAGATATTTCTAGGGGAAATTGACAGTACATACAAGTTTGTAAAAATCCTTCTTGAAAAAAGTAGCCAAAGTGAGTGGAAGAAATAAATATAACTATTAAATCATACTATTCCATTTTAGAAACTAAAAAATATCTTAAAATTTTTAGAATATATTCTTTGGCAATGAGGTAGACATTATCAACATCACGCCATAATTTTTAAGAAACATTATACCAATGCAAAAGCACATGGACCAAGTCAGAGGGAAAAAAACCAATCAATAGGTATCTTATGAGAATGATGCAGTGCAGTGTTGGAAAAACAAAGGAAGAAAATTATGAAAAAATTGATATGCACAAGTTTGATATGCAAGGAAAAAAATGTAAAGTACTTGATAAAGGAGTGCCTTTTCTTTTCCAAAGAAGAAAAAGCACTTGAGGCCTCACCTACGACCCTGCAGACTGCAGGAGGGAACTTGAATTAATCTCCCAGGAGCTTTTGCCTTGACTAGAGTCTGGCATCTGGACAAATGAAAATACCTGCTGTTGCTCCAAGTGAAAAGTCCAGGACCATAGGATGTAACTCTAAGTCAACCAGTCACCACAGTGGTTGGTTGAATGGAAAGGGAAAACTCAATTGAAATCCCAGAGGTACCTCAGAAAGGGAAATGGTATCCTACCATCTCCATATGTACTTCCAAGATGCTAGAGGTTTAGTAAGTGTAAAATGAACATGAGCCAAAACAAAGTTATCTTACAGAAGCTTTCCTAGATCCCAAATCTCTCGCAGTGCTTTGAGGTAGATAATTTACTTATCAAACATTGCTATCAATAGCCCACCACCGGTCATCCCACTCTCAGTGTTGGTAATCTAGGAAAAAAAAACCCCAAAAAACAGCGAACACATACACAGGGATGGGTCAAAAATGGTCCATCAATACTCGTGCCTGACCCTAACTTTCCTTTCTGAAATGCCATATGAAATGTCACTACAACAAATGTGTCAGTATTTCCTACCTCTATGTTCCCCATTATGTCATTTGTTACTTTGCCATTCAAGGCTTTTTTTTTCTTTCTCTCTAATATTCTTCAAAACCCATGCTAAAGTCAGTTCTCTTTAATATATTGAAAAAGCACCTGAGTCAGATTCTCCGAGGTTGGCAATTTTGCCATAGTCTTAAAAACTATCTTATTTATCTGGCGTGTTTCAGGTATTTTCTACACATTTTACATATACTCACAAGCGTATATGTGTGATTGTGCATGTAAATATCTGATCTAAAAAAAAAAACTCTTCTTTCAATTCCCAAATCTCTATTACCTCTTTCAGGCCAATCATCACTTTTCCTTTATTATACAAAAATGTACATGATTAATCTTTCTACTTGGTCTTGAATTTCACAATCACTGATATGATACCTAAGTTATCATTGTATCTTTTACCAGGCCTAAGATAATAAAGTCATTAATATAGTATGGGAAAATAATAGAAAAATGAATATTTTAATAATATGGAAACCATAATATTATAAACCATAATATCTGATTTGTAATTATTTTAACAGGGCACTATCTCTGGAACCAGGAATACTAGGATGCAATAAACAGTAACAGGTATAAAGCAAGTAGGTCCCAACAGTAACGCTGAATTATTGAACGATCTATTGCTTAGTGCTTTCCTTTGAGACCAATTTGGTCTCGAAGACAGCCAGCTAAGCACATTTCAAAAGTGCTCATAAACATAATACTAAACCAAAACAAGCCTAGAATAGACCATTCTATAAAATGGAATGAATGGATATGTATGTCTGATTTTGTGGGTAACTAATATGAGCTTGAGTGCAAAAAAAAGTGACATTCGTCACAGATTGTTATTACTTTGTGAAGAACAAGAATGAAAAAGTAAAAGGTCAGAAAAGTTGAGAGAACATATCTAGCTCATGGTAACGTCTTAAGGGTTTAGACGCTGGCTAACTGTATTTAAAATTTCCATTTAAATTTTTATTACATTTCCAATATAATAAAGACCTTTGGATAGCTAAGTAATTTAAAGGTTGTGGAAGATCTTCAACAAAGCCCATACTTATTCTTAATCTTTTTCAATAACGAACATTATTTCCATGAAAACACAATGGATAGTATGTATTTAAAATTTCCTTTTATAATTAAACACCATTAATCCTAAACTTATGGTTTTCACAGTAAAATTGTCTCATATAAATTATTTGTCCTGCCCCTATTTTATTAAGTCACCCAATTTGAATCTCTGTTTTTCAAAGTTATAGCCCATGCCACCAGTATTATTGTCATCAAGAAAGTAATTTATTTATACCATGATGATGATCGGTCTCCTAGATCTATATATTTGAGAGCAAAATTTGGGACCCAGTTCATGAAAAGCTTCTATGCCATGCCAAAATGCTTGGAGTAACATATGGACCAGCACCATTTGCACTCCTACATCAGTTTTTTTCATTCACAAACCACCCTCCTGGACAGCATGAGTTGGGAGTGGTGGCTGAAAGGAAGTTGGTAGCTAAGTCAGAAAAGGGATGATCCACAACTTCATGCCCTGTGTCATTCTATGACTCAGCTGCTTCTAAGCCCATTCAAAGCAGGAATCTGCCATGGACACCTGTGCTTGCCATAAAGTCAACTTCAGACAGTCTGAGGCATTACTGAATCCTCTCCCGTTTCCCGAGTCCCCTATGACCATTCAAAGGGCATGGCACTTTCCTAGAGAATGACAGTTTCCCCTGCCAAGGGAACACATTGCAGCCTTTGCACTTTGCCCCTCATCATCTACTACCCTTCTCAATCCAGTTACTGATTCACAAGATACCCTACCGTCTAGCTCCCTAGTTTGAGTGTGTATTATTCAAAGTTCTGCATGCCCACGCCAACTTTTCCATAACCTGTCATCCATGGAAGGATGGATGTACACAAAATATTAACTTGTTATTTGAGGAGTTTCTACATTGCTAATGATAAGTATTGTTCACCAAACTTAACATTTATCAGTTATTTTCAACCCAGAGCACTGAACTTCATGGCAACTGTGATTGCTATCCCCACTAATTTTCCTTTCTATTAACCACCCCTACCAACCCCAAACCAAATTCCACCAGTACACAACTACTCAATGAGTATCTGGACAAACTATAAACTACCATGGAGAAATCCCAATATGGGAGGATTTCCTTGCTTTATCCTAACACACATCTTCCAATCATGCTCCCACATGGGCTAGATAGAGTCCAAGATAATCAACCTGCTGTTCTCCTTGCAGATTCTTACTGTCCTTTCCCAATCTTTATTCTTCCCCTAAAATCCCACTGCCCACTTTATGTTCTAAAAAGTATGACAATAAAACAGATTATATCACTCAGAAGTTCAGGACTCATGGTGATACCACTTCCAGGTGCAAGTAGCAGAAGACAGATATTTCTGCTTCTAATGGATTTCAGGTGGCCTGTATAACACTGAAATGCTGTAATTACACAGAGGTAAACAAGCAAAATAACAGAAACTGACATACATATTATGTATGTATGGGACATCATCCAATGTCCAAGGGTGCTGCATGTCAATCATGTTTTTCTAAAACTCATCACCATTGATTATAATTTCTGATTAATATTTGCTATTAAAACTACTTTAAAGTTTTAAAAATATTTTTAAAGAAGTGTTGCATATGTAATATCACATATAGCCATGGAAATATGGCACTGAGATGCCATAGAAATATTATTGTAAATCAGATCACAAGGCTTTATTATCGCCTTATGACAAATGACACAAATTAGAAGCAAAGATATACTTAGAAAGACCAAAGCTATAAACCTAAATAAGTAGAGCTATCACATATCATACCTTCTTCTTTAAATTACCTACGTTAAAATACTTATTTTTTTTAGGAAATCTAAGACAGTAGGACTTAATAATTACTTCAAAATATCAAATCAATTCCCATTGTTTTATGAAAAGAATATCTCTGGTCCTAAATAAGAGTAATGCATACCTTATTTTAAAATAAAATGTGGCCATGAAATTGGATTTAAGTGATATGATTAAAGTTTAGAAATAGTTTTTTTTTCTTAAAGATTAAGGCACTATGTCCACAAAAGTTTTCTTAGCTACAGTGATCATCTAGATTATTGTGACCAGCAAGCCACATTAGTGATTTTAGGACACATCATGAGATGTTTCCAAGAAACCTAGCAATCATAGGTAAAAGATATTCACTTCTTCTCAATAATAACAATATAATTGAAAAGTGGACAAAGTCCACAAGAGAAAATGATAGGATAATGTATTTGTCCTGATCCATGAGAAAATCCTTTTATAATGTGAATTGAAATGGATGAGTCATTTTTTAAATATATATCTCTCGGTGGTGATTATTGATACCAAATTTTTAAAGCCATAAACTATAATATATTATTGATCACCAGATCATGAGGCATTGGAAAAAGTAAGCTCTATAATAATTTCACAGTAAAAGTTAATTCTTATGACCCAGAATAAACAGTGCAGGTAATAAAGCTTTTCAATGAAAATGTAGTTCATGCAGAAAGTTTAGCAGTCCATGAAGAACAAATAAAGTGTAATCATAAAATAAATAGGAAAGGGTAAAGAAAATCACCTTTTTAAATGCTAATTAAGTGCACTGAGTTCTGCAGTCTGTTCATCGCATACTGCACTATGTTCCCTTTGAACAGGTGAATCAGAACATTTAAATAGATACTATGTTCTTATATAATTAATTTAAGAAATAGAATGATGTTAGATTTTTATTCACTTTTGTGCTGTCCTACAGATTTTACTGAGAATCGCATCTCTGTTTGGTGCCTGTGATAATATCAGGTATTGTCCTGCTGAAAAGTTATAAGGTAGGGTATCACATTTTCATAAATCTGTATGGCTACATCCAATTGTTATTTCTTTTTTCTTTCTTTCTTTTCTCTTTCGTTTTTTAAAGGTAGGGTCTTGCTCTGTCACCCATGTTGGAGTGCAATGGTTGATACTAGCTCACTGCAAGCCATGAACTCCTGGGCTCAAGCAATCCTCCTGCCTCAGCCTACTGAGTTGCTGGGACTACAGATGTGTACCACTACCCCTGACTATTTTTATTTTTTGGCCAGACTGGCCTTGAGCTCCTAGTCTCAAGTAATCCTCCCCACTGGGCCCCCAGAGTGCTGGGATTACAGGGGTGAGCCAATATACCAAGCTCATTTGTTGTTTCGGTTATGCTTGCTTCACTTGCAAAGCCAAACAAATGTTACAGATGTGCAAGAAGAAAATAATGGTGTGGCACGATGTTGCTTAATCACTATTGGGTAATTGTTGGACAGCTTTCGGAATCTCCACATTCCCCAAACCAGTTTCAGATGAAATTTAAGACCAGGCTGCTATACAATTTTATGTAGTAATTGGCATAATAATTTCTAAGCAGGGCATTCTTCTATTTTTACCCTCCATCTAACTCCTCATTTTATTCCAGCAAGATCCTTCAGATAAATGGCATTATTTCAAGTAAGTAGCAAATAAGTTCAGGTTGGAGGAGTCCTCAGGAACCAACATGTCTAATGGTTTGCAAACTTTCTTCTTGGGAATAAAATATGCTTTTTTCTCTTAAGAAAATTTACTTAGAGCTCTAAACATGAAAGGGAACCAAAGTGGAACAGGTTGGGTTGAAGGGAGGCCCAGGTATAGAACCAAAGGGGAGGCTTTGCTCTCACTGCCATTTTGGTTTCCCAATAGGGTTTTCTGCGTGTGATGCCACAGATTAATATATACATATATGTATATGTATATGTACATGTATATGTATGTATGTCCATATATACTTACATATGTATGTATAACATTTATTTCAATGTATATATACATAAAAATATGTATGTATATAAACTTCTAGTGTTCTAATCCTGAATCTTCTAATACTTAAGAGGAAAGAAATTTTTAAAAATAAATAAAGAGGTACCTAGTGTAACATTTTGGTTCAGGTTTCTATAACAAATCATATTTTTAAAAGTACAGAGCAGTGTTTCTCAAAAAGAAGTCTAAAGAAGGCTAGTTTCATCTTTTTTTTTTTTAAAGTAGAAAGGTAGACAACTTGACATAAGGAGTAAACTTCAGGAAAAAAACATCAGCACTCTTAAAAAGCGTCAAGATCATGAAAGATAAGAAAAGGCTGGCAAACCATTAGGAACATAGATGTGTAGGTGGAGAAAGTTATGAACAGAGATTCATAGGTGAATTTAACAACCTAGTTGGACAGGTGGCAGAACTGGATCTCACCAAAAAAAATCCCCAGCACTGTTAAAAAATGTCTAGGTCATGAAAAACAAAGAGCCTGGCTAATTTTCCTTTATAAACATACATACAAAAATTATAAACAAAATACTGGCAAACAAAATTCAACAGCACATTAAAAGGGTAATACACCATGATCAAGTGGGATTTATCCCAAGGACATAGAGAAGGCTTTAATACACACAAATCAACCAATGTGATACACCACAGTAAGAGAAAGAGAATGAAGAATAAGAATTACATGAACAGCTCAACAGATGCAAAAAAGCACTTGACAAAATTGCAATATCTTTCATAATACAAACTCTCAACAAATTATGTATAGAGGAAAATACCTCAACATAATAAAGCTCACAGCTAACATCATACTCACTGGAGAAAAGCTGAAAGTTTTTCCTCTGAAATCAGGAACAAGACATGGAAGACCTAGCTAGTCATTAAGCAAAAAAAAAAAAAAAAAAAAAAAAAAAAAAAAAAAAAAAAAAAAAAAAAAAGGAAAAAAAAAAAAAAGAAATAAAAAGCATCCAAATGAGAAAGAAGTAAAAATATCTGTTTGCAGATTACATGTATAGAAAACCCTAAGACTCTACCAAAAAACTGTTAGTACAAGTAAATAAATTCAGTAAAGTTGCAGGATAAAAAATCAACATACAAAAATCACTTGCATTTCTATATACTAACAGCAAACTATCTAAAAAAGAAATTTTAAAAAATCCAATTTCAATAACATCAAAACTAAGAACATAAATAAAACACTAGGAATAAATTTAACCAAGGAGGAAGAAAGAGCTGTACACAGGAAGCTATAAAATATTAATAAAAGAAACTGAAGAAGACACAAATAAATGAAAAAACTAGCCATGTTTCTGTATCTGAAGAATTAATACTGTAAAATGTCTGTACTACCCCAAGCAATGTACAGATTCAATGCAATTCCTATCAAAATTCCAGTGGTATTTTTTACAGAAATAGAAAACTCATATGGAACCACAAAAGACTGAATAAGCAATATAATCTTGAGTAAAAAGAACAAACCTGGAGGCATCACAATGCCCGATTTCAAAATAAACTGCAAAGCTACAATAATCAAAACAGTATGGTACTGGCATAAAAGAAAACATAGAGACCAATGGAAAAGAAAAAAGAGCTCAGAAATAAATGGTTGCCTTAGTTCAGCTAGTGCTGCTACAACAGAATGCCTGAGACTGGGTAATTTAAAAAAATTATTTGTCTCACAATTATGGTGGCTGAAAGGTTTAAGATTGGATATCTGCATCTGATAATGGCCTCTGGCTGCTTTAACTCATGGCTGAAGGAGAATGGGACCCTGCATATGCAAAGAAATCACATGGCAAGGGTCAGGTGCCATGGCTCATGCTTGTAATCACAGCACTTTGGGAGGCCAAGGCAGGCCGATCACAAGTTCAGAAGTTTGAGACCAGCCTGTCGAATATGGTGAAACCCCATTTCTACTAAAAAATTAAAAATTAGCCAGGTGTGGGGGCTCACGTCTGTAGTCCCAGCTACTCTTGGGAGGCTGAGGCAGGAGAATCACTTGAACCCAGGAGGCGGAGGTTGCAGCGAGCCGAGGTCGTGCCACTGCACTCCAGCCTGGATGACAGAGTGAGACTCCATCTCTAAAAAAAAAAAAAAAAAAAAAAAAAAAAAAAAAAAAAAAAAAAAAAAAAAAAAATCACATGGCAAGAAAGGAAGCAAGAGAGAGAAACCAAGAAAGCCAGATTCTTTTTAACAATCTGCTGTCTCACAAACTAATTCATTCCCTGGGGAGTAAGAATTCACTTATTCATTCCTTCTGAAGGGCATTAATCTATTCATGAAGGATCTACCCTCATGCCCCAAGCTTATCTCTCAGTAGGCTCAGTCTTTCAACACTGCCACATTGGGGATCAAATTTCAACATGACTTTTGACTGAGAAAGACCAAACTACAGCAATGGTCAATTGATCTTTGACAAAGGTGCCAAGAACACACAAAATGAAAAGACAGTCTTTTCAGTAAATGATGTTGGGAAATCTGTATATCCACATGGAGAAGAATGAAATTGGACACTCATTTCATTCCGTATACAAAAATTAACTCAAAATGATGAACCAAAGTTTCAAAACTTACTATGAAACTGTAAAGCTACTGGAAGAAAACTTACAGAAAAAATTCTTGATATTGATCTAGACAATACTTTGAAAGGAATGACTGACTCCAAAAGTACAGGCAACAAAAGCAAAAACAGATACATGGAATTGCCTCAAACTAAAAAGCTTCTGCTCTAAAAAAGAAACAATCAACAGAGTGAAGAGACAATTTACAAAATAGGAGACAATATTTCAAACCATTGGTTTAATAAGGGGCCAATATTCAAAATGTATGAAGAGCTCAACTAAATGGCAAGAAAACAAATGATCCATTTAAAAAAATGGAAAATAGAACTGAGTAGACATTTTTCAAGAGAAGATGTACAAATGGTCAACAGCTATATGAAAAAGTGTTCAACATCACCAGTGATCAAGGAATTGCAAATTAAAGCCTAATGGGATATCAACTAACACCTGTTAGAATGGCTATTGTCAAAAAAGGGAAATAATAAAGGTTGGTAAAGATATAGAAAAAGGGACCCCTTGTGCATTGTTGTTGGAAATGTAAATTAGTACATCCATTGTGGAAAACTGTATGGAATTTCCTCAAGAAATTAAAAAGGGAACTACCAGATGATCCAGCAATCACGTCTAGGTATATATCCAAAATCAGTAACATGAAGAGATATCTGTATTCACATATTCATTGCAGCAGTATTCACAATAGCCAAGGTATGGAATCAAACTGTTGTCAGCCAGATAAATTGATAAAGAAAATTTGATGTGTGTAGCTACACACACACACACACACAAAGGAATATTATTCAGCCATCAAAAAGAAGAAAATCCTGTCATTGGTGACAACATTGATGAACCTGGAGGTCCTTACACTAAATGAAATAAGCCTGTCTGTAAAGACAGACAAATACTGCATAATCTTGCTTATATGTGGAACCTAAGAACACTAAACCCCTAGAAGTGGATAGTAAGTACAGTGGTGTTTACAAGGAGCTGGGGATATAGATGCAAGGGGATAGAGATGGGGAAAATGGGGAGATATTGGTGAAAGGGTATAAAGTTTCAGTTATGCAGGATGAATAAGTTCTGGACATCTAATATTAAGTGCAATGACTATACGTAATAATACTGCATACTTCGAATTTGCTAAGGCAGATCTTAAAAATGCTTACTACACAGAAAAAAAAATGGTAACTGTGAGGTGACGACTATGTTACTTAGCTTGTGTTAATCATTTCAAAATGCATACATTTATCAAAGCATCAAATGGTACATCTTAAATATAGATGATTTTTCCTTTTCAATTATACCTCAATGAAACCTTACAAAAGAGAAAAAACAGAAAATAAGAGAGTTGGCATTCTTCCCAAATTATTTAATGAGGCTGTTGTAATTTTTCTCTCAAAACCTGACAAAGGAGGCGGAGGTTGCAGTGAGCCAAGATCATGCCACTGCACTCCAGCCTGGTCGACAGAGCAAAACTCCATCTCAAAAGAAAAAAAAAGAAAAGCCTGACAAAAAGTGTTAAAAAATAAAGATTAATCTAAAAAAAATTAATAAAAATATTGAATAGCAAATTGAAAGTCGCAATGCATAAAAATTTTAATTCATCATGACCAAGTAAGCCTCATGCCTAGATTACAAGCATAATTTTATGTTTAACATTTAAAAGTTAATTGGCATAATTTACCACATTAAAAGAATAAGAAAAATTACATGATCATAGTTTTTGCATAAATGGGTGTTGAATTTGTCAAATGCTTTTAATGCAACTATTCTACTAGGAATAGAAATAACTTCCTCAATCTGACAAAAGCTGACTATGAATACCTTTAGTTAATACCATATTTATTGATGAAATATTGAGAAATTTCCTCCTAAAATCCAAAGCAAGACAGTTATATTAAATATTTTACTAGAGGTCCCAGACAGTGCACTAATAAAAGAAAATAAAAAGAAATAAGTACTGGGAGGCAACAACTAAAACTGTCTCTAGTCATTGAAAATATAATGGTGTAGAAAATCCTAGGAAACTAAACAAAAACACAAAATG